ATACGCCTACGGGGCATATATTAGGTCGGTCCATAAATTTTGAGAACCTTTGGTGTTTTTCGATTTATTACTTATCTTATTTCTCTGATCTACTTATCCAGCATAGTATACATCATTATTATTAACAACATATCACCAATGCGAGGGTGGGTATTCAGTGCCTCTCTTGTGGACTTTCATAGAGTTCTGATCGAAGAAAAATAGTCCAATTTTTTAGGAATTTTCTTAGCAAGGCGGGCTCGAACGACCTCAGAAAAAATAGATTTTGTCTTCCTTTGCTTTCAAGTTGAAGGCGTTGCCATCAAGCTGTCAACGATTCTTCCCATCACTGACACTGGTATTAGTTGATGCCGGTCTTCAGCGCAAAGGCCCTCCCGTATTGCGCCAACGACTCAGGAAGTTCGAATTCAGAGGGAGTTGGGTTTTTACTGTCAGAACTCCCGAATCGTTTAAGCAAATCTACTGCGGCTCGTGGATTTGTTAGCACACTGCACCCAGTCCACATCACCAATGAGTATTATAGATGGTCATCCGAAGGAACTATGGGAAACCAACAGGAACTTGATGATGTCAGATTGGGTTGAGAACTGATTCGGGACTACAATTTTCCTTCGATCAGAACTCTATGAAAGTCCACAAGAGAGGCACTGAATACCCACCCTCGCATTGGTGATATGTTGTTAATAATAATGATGTATACTATGCTGGATAAGTAGATCAGAGAAATAAGATAAGTAATAAATCGAAAAACACCAAAGGTTCTCAAAAATTGTGGACCGACCTAATATTTCCTTTGGAAGGCTTGCTCAATTTCAGTACTACACACAGCGTGGTTCTCAATTTACACGTCCCCTTTCGGTTGAAAGAAGCCTTGTAACCGCCTTAGCCAGCTGTGTGTTGACTGATCTTTGGCGTTGACCGTGGAGCAGCTTATCTACTATTGAAATTTGAACAAATATTCAAATGATTATAACTTTCTTCAAATATGACGAATTTTCAATCTGAAAGCAGATTTGGAAGTTTTGTGAAGAGCTCTTTCTAATCAGTATGAAATTACAAAAATTTATAAGAAATAACAAATTTAGATCAATTAACGAGGAAAATTCATGATGAGCACGAGTTTTTACACTTTCCGAAGCCATAACTTGCTTCATTTTCGTCAAATTCGAAAAGTTAATATGGCATACAAAACTAGAAGATTTTCTCTATCAAAGGTTACTAAAGCTTCATACGTCCAGTATTCAAAAAATGGCCACGTTGAGGATTTTTGCAAAATTAACGAGGAAAATTCGTGATGAGTGCGAGTTTTTACGCTTTCCAAAGCCATAACTCCGTTCAAACTCATCCAATCTGAAAAGTTAATACGTCATCATAAACTAGAAGATTTGCTCTATCAAATGCTTACTAGAACTGCTCCAACGTCCAGTATTAAAAAATGGCCACGTTGAGGATTTTTGCCCGAGTACCGCCGAAAGGTACTTTTTCGCTGCATTGGCACTATTTCAACGACTATAGCTCCTTTCGATTATGTACTAAAGTAGGAGCAGATTCGGAAATCCTCGTGCTTTTCTCTTTCCAAAAAGTGTAAAATTGTTTAGCGAATCTCAACTTTAAACTTACATGCTTGTGAATTTGACGCTGAAGGCTGCGTTTCTTGTTGAATAGTGTACTCCTCCCTGTAATTTCACATGAACCCTTTCAGAATCCTCTTGATTTTTCCTGAATTGAGATTCTTTCTCCAGAGAGCCGTAGTTGAAGCGCGCGCAACCAACTGGGCCCACTCTGGGATGCGCCGTGTGCTTCACATCCCTTCAGATTCGAGGACTCACTTGAAAGATAAAATATCCCTTGGAAAACGTGCGAATTTCGGATTCTTAACTTGTTTCGTAACAAAATACTGAAGCAACTATGATCCACTACGCGGACACCTATGAGTCACAAAATGTCATGTGCGCGGAATAACATTGCTGTTGGAATTCCCCTGGCCTTCCACGGCATTGAATCAATCCTTGCTGTTTGTCCTCCGACAGTGATGATCCTACTGCCTTTCCAGTTCGATCTGTTCCTCCCAACAGGCCAGTACTCTCTTCTTCCAGCCAGCCAGTACGACCCCCCCCCTCGGCGTGTTAAGGATTCCTCAACGCACGCTTGACCCTGGTCCACACATAAATCGGCGCAGCAACTGCCGCGCGTGACGCTACTGCCGCGTGAGCGGCGTGACCTCATTAGCTGACAATTGAATTGACCGTTTCCCCTTTAGGAACTACATAGGTAGTTATCAGCTGTTCCAGTTCTATGAAAACCACAGAGCAACAGGACTCAGCATCAAAAATGTTCACAAACGTACCTTTCAAGTGACGCTCTCTGCGAGAACAGAGGTACACATCGATCAGGATTCGAGATAAAAACAGCGAAGTATCGTGAACGATCATTCACTGGCACTTTTTCACATAGTCTAAAAAGTCCAACACTATTCGATAACTAACGTCAGGGAAATGCTTGTCAGAGGACATTTCTATCCCACAAAGAATTTAAGAGATCTGCCTTTAGGGATTAAACGTACACAGTTGAACGTGCGTTATGCGCTCAGGCACTGTTTCCGTCAGGTTCCATTGTATTTATGTTCCCTATTTTACCATATACAGCGTGATTCAACATCGACATCATGTCTCCCCGCGCCTGCATTGTGGCTTTATGGGCGTGCACGCTTGCGCTTGTAACGTTGCAGGCGCATGAACCAAATATCGCATCACATCCATGTTATCTACTATTTCCACAAACAAGCGCCATCCGGATTTTCATTTAGTTCTCTTTATGCTCCATTTTATCAACTAACTAACTAACTTCGGTGCGTTCCCAGTTTAGTTCCCAGCTTCTGAAACACACATGGGAGAATGCACAGAACAGCTCCCTTCGCACATCAAAAGTGTAAAACCACGCTGTTCATTTGATTCTCTAGCGAGTTCCATTTTCTCTGTTTTGCATGGTGGTTTCCACCCCCGGATGCAATTCGATGTACTGAGAACGAATTCAATCACAAGTGGTAGCATAGACACCAATCTATTTAGAACGATTCCAGAATCATCACTGCAATTCAGTTCGCTTTTGAGATCGACAACAGATCGATTTATTTAACTACAGTAACCTCGGTTAAGTAGCTTCAGAAAATAACAATTAGTAACATCCCCATCCAGCCCATAAAAATTTTAGGCAACAAACTCCCCAGTTTCCTGACGTAATAACAAATGAAGAAATCAAAACCGATCGATAACAGCTTACCTGTAAACATTTTCTTCGCAATAGCACTTGGTATAGTCACAAGTCTCTCGGCCCTCAAAAGGCTGGATCATGCGAACTGAAGACTTGCGATTAACTGTAAGTTTACTCCTTCTGAGCAGCTTTGGAATTAGATCAACTCCTGCACGTATCACAAAACATTTCGAAAGATTCCGCCAATACCATGACCTTTTGGTTAAAGTAATCAACAACGAGCAGCACCATTTATTGTTTCGTGTATTGATGTCAATCATAAGGATTGAGCAAAACTAGAAAACATGCAAAATGTAAGTTCATACGCAACTCAATGTAAAACAATACTTGTACTAGCTATAAGGGCAGCTCATAGCGGAACCGTGAAACAATATTACACACGGGTAGCGTACCGTACTCTGTGCACCTTCTTGAATGGAATTCTATTACAGCAAGTTCACCCATATGTAATGAAAGGCTTAAGGCTAGAGCACTTGCAGAACCAGGAAAGGAACACAATTAGAATAATGTGAAAATTCTAGGTAATAGGAACAGTGATCGACGATGGCACTGAAAATGAGCAAAGGCACCGGATATTTCATGAGCCCACGTACTTTCTGCTATGGATCCTGTAACCTCGAAATTAAACTATCGTTTACACATCTAGTTGCATGCAAGTAGCTCCAGAGTCGAAGTGGTTTCCTATTGCAGGACGCAATTCTTCATTGATGAAGCGCATTGTTTGCGATTCGCAACGGCCAGTGAAGCGAATTGGTTCATCCACTAGCGCCATTACACGCTCGCGGACCTGAAAAGGAAGTAACTGACATGCGAGATGCTCATTAGGAATACTTGATTTTCAATTCCTTACCGAGTCGAAAAATGGATCCTTCAAAATATCCTCCATATGAACAACTTGAGTCGCCTGTTTCTTCTTTGCTTCGAGGGCTGTTTCTCGAATGACTGCATGGGCCTTAACATTGTTTTAAGTTAAGAAATGGCAAAATTTGTAAAAGCAGTGGCCAGAAATAGGAAAATTTTACTTTTTGTCGATCGACACCTTCTTCTGTCAGCCACATCATTGCCTTTTCCAATCCAAGGAATGGTAGCTCTTCACGAACAATCCGTGCAACATTTTCTGTCTGCACTGTGAGGCCTTCGAAAATGTTCTAAACAAAGACGTCAAATCATAACAGCATCAACCAATTTTACCGACGAACAAATCAAAATACCCAGTCGCTTTATTTGAAAGCAAACTAATAAACAGTTCAGTTTCACGTGTCAACCGAAGACAACGGTCAGCCCCCTACAGCGCAGGGAATTGCACTACACCAATCTTCAAAACCGCAATCGATTGAATGCATTATTCACTAACACCTATGATTTATGATTTATGATTTATTATCGGTAGTCCAATCAAATAAAATAAAGACAACACGAATAAAAGCAGATCTCCGATATTGAAGTATACTACACCATAAAACGCTGCGGGAAGGGAAGTGGATAATCGGCGCAGAAGGGCAGTGGCCGCCAACACTGCAAGCTCAGGTGCAGTAAGTTGGCGGCCACTGCCTATCATCTAAGCCCTCGAACAATGTCTGTGCTATCCTTTTGTCTTATTAAAATACTCAATATAAGTTCTGTCATCTCGTGTGCGGTATAAAGGTCACTTGCACAATGCTTTCCCCAATTGGCAACACGGTGAACATGACATAACCCTGGTTTTGCGGAAGAACTGCTGAAAAATGAATAATGTATCAACTAATTTGCTTAATCGGACCTGAAGAGTTGATAGCATAGCCTCTGTGGTAAGCACAGAATCCGGAATAAGCATTCGGCGATTAGCTGAGTCGTCAAGGGTTCGTTCCAAGCCTTGGTCGCTCAATATATTGAGGGCTTCCTGAAATGGGAGCTTACCTGCTGAAAAAAAGGTTTTAAACAAGAAAAGAACGAACCTGCGGAGAATGTATTAGCTTTCGAGCCAGGGAACAACATCGTTCACTTTTCATTGGATTCTTTTTGTATGGCATAGCAGATGATCCTATCTGATCCTGAAAAAAAGGATTTATTCGAAAAGGTGACATTTGGAACAGATCTTAATTTTACCGTATGTACGCACGGCGGGAATGATATTACATAATTGCACCTCCAAAATGTTGGGTGTGGCTCATTAGGACAGAAAGCGACTTTTTCGCGTTTCGCAGCGCGAAACATTTTCCGCTGCGGGAACCTCAGGTCCACCGCTGATCATCAGTGGACCCGAGGTTCCCGCAGCGAATCATCAGTGGACCCGAGATTCCCGCAACGAACAATGTTTCGCGCTGCGAAACGCGAAAAAGTCGCTTTCTGTCCTAGTGAAGCACACCCAAAATGTTGGGCTCATTGGGAGCACTATAACACCAGGCTCATTGTTAGTGTCCGATTCTCTCGATGTTATCATCGTGCACACCTTCGCACATTCTCTTCTGACACAAGAACCCGACGAATATACGTTAATTATGTTGAACGTACCTTTTCGAAAGGTTCAAGAAGCTCGCCCATAGCTTGAAGAACACGTATATCAGTGCAAATCTTCTTCACTGCTGCACCGATCGCAGCAAGAGCGAATATTAATTGGACATCCTAGAAATGCCTAATCGATATTGATCACGCCCAATGAACCAATAACGACAAATATTCTATCCCTACCTGCTGCCTGGAGTATGTCTGCCCTGTTATGGAGAATTTCTGACTGAAACCTGCTTTAGCGGTTACAAGTTCGTCCAGTTTCTCGACCTTAACTGGAAAAGTAATCAAAAACTGTACCATTGGGAAAAGTATAGTGCGGAACGAACGCTTTCACCCACCAATGATTCATCCCCACCGAATAGCGTCATGAAGGAATCCTGTGTCCCTGTAGCTCCTTTGATTCCTCGGAACTTCATTGTATTGTAGAAGTGACTCAACTGAAGAGCAAATACTTTGTAAGACAAAGAAACGGTCTAATCGACCGCTGACTTTAACCAATGAACAGTAGTAGTGCTGTTGATATTTTCGAAGAGCACTCAGCATAAACCAAGTATGAATTAGCCAGGACAGTGGAAATTTCAACAGGAAACGAGTGGAGTAGAGAAGACTAATGCACTGATTGACCTGATTGTAAGCCATGAGTAGCTCTTGCGCCCATAAAGCGGCTCGCTTGCCACAGTTAACCAACAGTTACCAGAGACGCTGGTTTGGAGTGTTTGGTAGTTGAGTTCGACCAACGGTCACATGCGACTTTTCGCGTTCTGCAAATGTGGCCATTCGATCCAGCACCGTAGCAGCTCTTAAATTCATTGCACATGGTAAGATAGTGATCAAAAAACATTTGATCGATATTACCTTGCAAGTAGGTGTCCAACAGATTCGCGAATAACAATGAGATCAGCGTTGTCTTGGACGTAGCATGAGGTTGCACCAAGATGGATTATTCCTGCCGCTTTTGGGCATACCTCAAAAGTGTTCATGAAAATTGTCGAAAGTGAGAGCAACCTCCAAAAACCTTTCTTCAACCACAAGTTTTTACAACGGAAAGGATGAAAACAACGACAGCCAACAAAAACGTTAAGCCCCGGTGATAATTTACGATGGACTTTCAACTGGTTCGCAGTTCTAGTGTGAAGTAAATACGTATCGACTCGACATAATCGCTAAATCGCAAAATTTCATGGGCGATACTTATGTACTCCATATTCGAACTGCAAGATGGTTAAAAAGAATGACTGCTTTTAAGCTTTATGTTACCTTGTCTCCAGTCAAGATTTCCCAAGAGTTCCCCCTTTTCAACTAAGCGTTGTGAGAAGGGTCAACCGTCTATTATGCCAACTGGGTATCGCGAAAGTGAGGGTGAGTTTTCGAAGGACTTATTCACATTTTTTACCAAAATGCATTTGTAGAAAATGCGGAAGCTAAGAACTTGCCGTTTTAACATTCATACCCCCTCCTCCACCCCCTCACGACGGCACTTTTGAAGGAAATTATTGAGCGGAGGTTAAAGTGTAACATCTGTTGTTGGAATCAAATATTACAGAAGCTGCCGTGGCGGTGAGGGAGAAGGTTGTAGAAGTATTAGTTAACGCCGCATAGAAAAAAAAATCGTCAAAATCCCACAGGAGGGGGGAGTGGTTGTATAAATTAGCACAAGGAAGTTCGACCTGTGAGTAGAAAATTCACAAAAGGAAACTTACAGCTCCATAAGCATGATTGTGAGCCATAACGTCGTGCTTCAAGCGACGTTCCTCCTCGCGGATCTTGTGCCAGTCGATATTGTCCCGCTGCTCTTTCATTTGTTCGATTGCCTCTGGGGTTACCTAGAAATGGATCCTATAAAGTTCCTTCGCAGAAGAGCACAGTCACGGTTCCGTTGGGGAAATGCACAGTTGCCGTTGATGATGGATAAGTCGAACCTCAAGACTTGGTATGTGGCGACCCTACACACATTACGACTGTAAGACACAAATGAAAATCTAAAAAAATTCTTAAGCGGGAACCGTTTGAAAATCAAAGAATGGGAATCTACCAAATTCATGGGTGGTTTTAGAGGTAAGATCCTACTGTAAGGCCTGGAAGGATGTGAAACATCGCGAGAACTTTCACACTCGAAAGCTTCGTGCCGCGAATGGCGGCTAACCAAGGCTCAGAGGTGCTAACTTAGTTGGGGGGGGGGGGGGATCTCGCGGCGGCGCGGCGCTCTGTTCGTCTGCTCCTGGTTGACGGACTCTTGCACGCAGAGTCAACCCTGCGTTGCGCAGTTTCGCCCGATTAGACACGTTCTCTCGCGCGAACATTCACACTCGCATGCTCGAGCCGTCTGCGTCTCCGCCCATACAGCGTGCGTTGAGGATCTCTCAACGTGCCGTTGCGAACTGCGCAACGCAGGGTTGACTCTGCTTGCACTCCAGCCCTTTACCGCCTCTGCGCTCTCTAGCGGGTCCCTCTCCTCTCCAAGGCTTAGTCCTAGGGCATTCTCTAATCGTCTGTGCTCTAGCCATCGCGGCAGGACCATTGAGGAAAAATCAAGTAGTCCGTAAACCCCAAAGTTTAGTCCGCCGATGGCGCGTATTTCGAAACTGCCACGTGGCGACGAAATAGTGACTGCCCCTTGGACTAAGCCTTAGAGGAGCAGACAAGGCTGGTCGCGATTCCGCGATTTTCGCGATTTGCGCGACGGTCACGGAAATCTCAAGTGCCTCATTCAATACTGCAAGGTGTTCTCTTCCACTTGCTTCATATTCAGTGTTTCAATTGTTCAAATGGGCCACTTGCAATTTTTGTGATCATCATCCCATGGTCAGTTCAGAATAGATGCAGTTCCGTCCCTGAACGAATGAGCATTTCAATGAATAATAGACATAACATTAAACGAGTAGAATCACGGGCAGTCTTCCTTCAATTTCCAGGATTAAACAGCACCTCGCAGTATTCATCGGGGCACCTCCAACTCCTGTGACCCATCGCAGGTTTCGCAAAATCGCGCAAATCGCGAAAATCGCGCAAATCGAATCGCGGACTCTGACACCAGCCTAACAGAGCACCGCGCCGCCGCGTGGTTCCCCTCCCACCTCCAACTAAGTTAGCACCGGCTCAGTACTTTTGGGGTGTGGTTCACTAGGACAGAAAGCGACTTTTTCGCGTTTCGCAGCGCGAAACATTGTTCGTTGCGGGAATCTCGGGTCCACTGATGATTCGCTGCGGGAACCTCGGGTCCACTGATGATCAGCGGTGGACCTGAGGTTCCCGCAGCGAAAATGTTTCGCGCTGCGAAACGCGAAAAAGTCGCTTTCTGTCCTAGTGAACCACACCCGACTTTTGGAAACTTGAAATTGACATCGCCTTCTACCGATGCCACTTGGAAGATTTCCACCTGTTGCTAAGTGTATGCCTAGATTGGTTGGACAAAAAAGAGGAAGCATGAACGTCCTTAATTCATCGGAACTTTATAAATTATTTGAGAAATCGCCTTCCACATATTCTGGGCTATATTTGCCTCTACAAGGCCCCAGTGAATCTCAAGTGATTATGAAAACTTGTTTGTGCTTCTCTAGTGCTGACTTCAAAAGTAGAGACCATATTTTTTAAAATATATACCTGTTTGAGGCCAAGTTCGTGTTCAGCTTCTGCTAACCATATCCATAGCTGTCTCCACAAAATTGTCTCAAACATTCACAACTTATGCGATAAATTAAGACAGAAGTGGATCAACATCACTGATGCGATGACTTGCCTTATTTCTTTCAGAGAAAATCTCGATCAATGGACTTCGTCTGCAATATCGACTGGCTAGCACGGACTCATAACGATCCTCGATCTGCATATTTTACTTAACGATATCGGCCTAAAATGCAGTAACCTTATCGTTATAGCGTCAGTAATGATTCCAAATGCTGCTGCAAGGTAACGACTGAACCCTTACTCAGTTCGTCGGACTTTAAAAGGCAACTGCCGGATCGCAACAGAAAGCGGCTGCCGACGTCAAATAAAATGTTCTCTTGGCAATGCACACACTGCGCCATACCTCACGCACATGCTCAAAAATGGGGATCGATCATAACGATCCTCGATCTGGGGTTTGAAACGTCTCGACAAAAGTGGATATGATCTCCGGCAGACAGAGAAACATTGTGCGAGACAGGGCGCACGCATAGTCGGTCGGACGACAACAACGATCGTGAAAGCCGCACAGCTTTAGGTGCGTATCGATCGCCGGGCTTGCCCGAGTATTCGACGATTAGATGCAGTTGGACAGT